CCTTCCCTCTCTCCTTTCCTCTCCCTTCCCTTCCCTCTCTCCTTTCCTCTCCCTTCCCTTCCCTCTCTCCTTTCCTCTCCCTTCCCTTCCCTCTCCTTTCCTCTCCCTTCTCCTCTCCCTTCTCTATTCCTTTCCATTCCTTTCCGTTCCTCCCCCCACCCCCCCTTTTTTTTTTTTGAGATGGAGTCTCGCCCTGTCACCCAGGCTGGAGTGCAATGGGGCAGTCTCGGTTCACTGCAACCTCTACTTCCCGGGTTCAAATGATTCTCTTGCCTCAGCCTCCCGAGTATCTGGAATTACAGGTGCCCACCACTATGCCCAGCTAATTTTTGTATTTTTAGTAAAGATGGGGTTTCACCATGTTGACCAGGTTGGTCTCGAACTCCTGACCTCGTGATCCGCCTGCCTCAGCTTCCCAAAGTGCTGGGATTACAGGCATGAGCCACTGTGCTCGGCCAAGTTTTTCCTTAAAAAAAATAAAAATAAAAAATAAAAAACATTACTTGATGGGCAAGTTGCAGTATTTATCGAAGTATACTGATGACTGCAAGTTCTTTGAATAGATGTATTAAAACAAATATGAGGAAATGTTAATTTTAAATTGTAGGTGGTAGCTATGTGGATATTGTTTTCATTTTTTTCTGTATGTTTGAAAATTTTCATAGTAAAATGTTAAGAAAAAATGGAGACCAGTGGATGGTATTTCTCGAAGTCAGGTTCCTGTTAATATGTTGTTGTTGTTTTTTTAATGGCATTCATCAAAATTCATTTCTTTAAATTTGAAAATAGTTTGAAGAGCTCATCGGTAACATTTTTCTGCTGGTGCATTAAGCTCTGACCTGCTTATGATGCAGAAGGATAGAGAAATACGAGTAAATAAAAGCACAAGACAAAACACACATACTAACTTGATCATTTCAAAATGATGTAGCAAAGGCTAATTAAGGTCATTTCTAATACCTACATTTGGAGGGGATGGATACGCAATTAGACTATGCTCAGATTCAAGTATGATTAATGGGAGATGGAATTCATGGAATTGCTAATTTCGAACACGTTTTCGAAAATGCTATGGGAGGAAATTATTTTATTTATTTATTTAGAGACGGAGTCTTGCTCTGTCATCGCCCAGGCTGGAGTGCAGTGGCACAATCTTGGCTCACTGCAATCTCCACCTCCCAGGTTCATGCCATTCTCCTGCCTCAGCCTCCCGAGTAGCTGGGACTACAGGTGCCCACCACCACGCCTGGCTAATTTTTTGTATTTTTAGTAGAGATGGGGTGTCACCATGTTAGCCAGGATGGTCTGATCTCTTGACGTCATGATCCACCCACCTCGGTCTCCTGAAGTACTGGGATTACAGGCATGAGCCCCCGCGCCCGGCCACGGGAGGAAATTATTAAGAGTTTGTTTCCACTCTCTTAATTGACCAATAGTCATTTGTGGAGTATGGCTTAGGACACTTTTTTAAGTGTGTTGTATTTATTTAAAAAAAAAATGCTGTATGATTTTTATGGTGGAATTATTAGCGAGATTGGATTGATTAGAATTTATTTTAAAATATAATCTCTTTGGAGGCCGAGACAGATGGATCATGAGGTCAGGAGATCGAGACCATCCTGGCTAACACCGTGAAACCCCGTCTCTACTAAAAATACAAAAAATTAGCTGGTGTGGTGGCGGGCGCCTCTAGTCCCAGCTACTTGGGAGGCTGAGGCAGGAGGATGGCGTCAACCTGGGAGGCGGAGCTTGCAGTGAGCCGAGATTGTGCCACTGCACTCCAGCTTGGACGACACAGTGCGACTGTCTCAAAAAAAATACACACACACACACACACACACACACATATATATACAATATATATAAAATCTCTATCTTAGAAATTTAGTAATGGTCTGTTAGTGAGTTGTTGGATTAAAAAGCACTGTGACAGGATTTTATGGTTCTTTCATAAAGTTTTGAGATACAAGTATAGTCATATTAAAATTCAGTACTGTAACATCCAGTGTTATGCATAAATGTTATAAATACTGGTTCATTTTCTGACCGCTGTTAATTTGCTGTTAGGAAAGTTATTCTAATAGCCTCAATTTTTAAATATATATATCAGATTAAATTGTGAGTGGGGATGAGAGAAAAGTAAAATATTGATATTAAAATATAATTTGTAATTACAAGATATAAGATTTTTAAATTTATTTCACTTTCTCTCTGGTTTTTTTTTTGGAAGCACTTCAATTTTAAATTCATTTGAGAACATAACATGAAATTACTTGATGTTATAATGATTTGATATTTCTCTAGAAACCAAAAATTTGGACTTCATTTTTGGTCTTTTGTCTTTTTATCACTCCAGATGTATTGCAGTAATTTTTTTGTTTAAATCACCATTTGTATATATTATAACTTTATCAAAGTAAAACTGCTATGTTGCGCCTAGCCCTAGTCATTTTGTTGTGAGAATTCTATATTACTGATATCTAAATGAGGCATTTTGGTCTTTGAGAAAATTGTGTTGTGTGCTAACTTTGGAGATGGTAGAATTACAATTGTGTGTTTATGCCTTCTAGATAGAAATCTAGTGATGAACAATCGAGTGGGTTTCACACTGTGTACCAGCTAGTTATTTAAACATCAAATTATCCTTAACTTCTAATTTTAGTACCAATGTCTTCCTAGAGGAGAATATGTTACCCAAACAGAAACAATAGTTCAGTTAGACTTAATTTTTTGCAGGAGCTCATTTACATCTATGTAATACTGACTAAAGACTATAACGTATAATACTGTATGTATTATACATAGTAATATATATACTATATTATACAGTACTGTAATTATACTGAATAAAGATAATACTATTGTAACAGAGATGAGGTCTTGTTATGTTGCCCAGGCTGGTGTAGAACTCCTGGGCTCAAGTGATCCTTCTCTCTCAGCCTGCCAGAGTGCTGGTATTAAAGGTGTGAGGCACCACAACCCACCTGTTATTAAATATCTGAATGTTTAAGTCTCTGTGAAAAAAATGATGGACAAGGTAAGGTAGATGGATAAAATTGCTGAAAACAGCTCATGATCAAAATGGAACCCTAAAGAGTTATCCGTATATGATTGCAATTTCTGTTATTTGCCATCATAATACCAAAATCAAAATGAAAAATACATTTAATGTAAATGAAAGTTTTGCTTCAAAGATTTCTATCTCAGAAACACATTGATATTACATCCATCTTAAGACTGGCCAAGAACAAGAGAGAAATCTTATTAATGATTCTGAATGTTGTGTTAGGAGGTACTGTGTATTGCCAAGGTGAAATGTTCAAATGACTAAGTAGTGGACTTGCATGTATGCCAAGTTATTTTAGAATCACTTTAGGTAATTTGCATTTAAGAAAAACTTTAAAAAACAAGGTTTTTCCATTGCATGTTTCATCATATCTTTACATCCTTTAAAAGTAGATTTTTTAAGAGCTTCTTGATTGTAGAGATATGTTTACTGGTTCTCATATCCTTGAAGTGTTAAGTCTGCCAAGTAAGAATCTTAGCATCAACATAAGCAATGAAGTATAAAGGAATAAAGAAATATAAAGTAGAACATCAGTTGATCTTTGAACTTTAAGCTAGTTGTTAAATTTGTCAGACCCTGGAGAATTTCCTAGAACCAGGCAGTTAATTATATTTAGGAAATTAGTTAGAAAACCACAGATTTTGAGGTACCCAGCACCTATTGTTACTGATAGATGTTTGATTTCTTTCAGTATAGAAAACTTAAACATGGAGACACTGTTTTTTAAAAAATGTTTCTGTGTGTCACTAAAAAAAATGTTTTTTTTTTCCTTTCAATTAGCTTTATTGTCAGAAGGAGAAGCCAGATTCTACTTTGAGAGAACCAGAAAAAAATATTATGAGTAGGGAAAATATGCTCATCAACACAGAAGGATATCACAAGCATACTTATTGTTTTATTGCATGTTAAATTTAAATAGTTTAATTTACTCTAATCATTTTTCTTGTCATTTTATTCTTTGTTCAGTTATTTAATCCGGGACAGTTATGGGCACTTTATCACTTAAAGTAAGTACTAGCTCAAAGGTGTGCTATTTTCTAGATTTACTTGGGCAGCCTGGCCAAAGGTGAATTAGGTCTTTTTGGGCCATAATTTGGGTTACTCGTTACTAATTCAGCTTAGATGATAATGATTAAGCCTGATCATGGTACTGAGGCTGATAAATTCTAAAAAGCTTTCTAGTAGTTAAAAGATAGAAAGCAATTGCTTTTTGCAATTTAAAATTTTATGTCCTTTTTATTGAGGACATAATTATGTCCTTATGAAAATTATTTTCAACCTTGTTCCTTACTGCTGTTTCCAGTGTTAACAGTTAAACCTTACTGTTAACAAACATCTTACATTTGATTGATTCTTCCTAAATTCATCTTTAGGATCACTCAGTGTTAAAGCTAGAGGGGCCCTTTCATATTATCTAATTCAGTACCCCCATTTTACAGAAGAGGAAACTGAGGCCTTGGACTAGAACAAAGGTCTCCTGACTCAGTCCAGGACTCTTTCTGTTACATCTTGCTGCCTGATATTTGTCTTTATGGAACTCAGCAACATCACATACAGGGTGAGCTTTTTTTTTTTTTTTTTTAAATGAACACATAAAGTGATTTGCTACCCTCATTAATTACTAGTCCTCATTCTTGTCTAACTCTTATTGTTTTCCTTTTCTACCCATATTTATTTTAATCGATTATATAGACCCAAATACTTGTGACATGTTTTTATTTTGCTGCTACCTCTTCTTGATGTTTGACTATTATTTTTAAGAGTTAAACTTTCAGAGGATTTCTTACCAATGATGACTGCCATTTTATCAGGCACTGTAGCAACAACTGATTAAAATGTGTAACAGGAATTATTTGTAGAATCTTATTTTTAGATTAAAAAAGTTAATTACAAATAAGTGGAAGAGTGTGGATGAGATCTAAGGAACTATAATACTGGATACAAAAACTTTTTTTTTTTTTTTTTTTTTTTTTGGTGAAATACCAACTTCCCAAGAAATGATCAGCCAACAGTGTGATATAACTGCTATTAAAATAGCCTATACTATGACTGCATGGATTTATGCACATTTATGTTTTAGGTTATTGCGTTGTTTTCTTTATCAGTACTCAGGTTGGCTCCTGTATCCTTTTGACAAGTCCCTAGCAATTTTTGGTAATTTTCTTGCTTTCTGTTGTCACACGATATTACAGGTTTATGTGGTTTTCAAGGGCAACTCAAGGACTTCTTTTATTTTTTTTGAGCCGGAGTCTCGCTCTGTTGCCCAGGCTGGAGTGCAGTGGTGGGATCTTGGCTCACTGCAAGCTCCACCTCAAGTTCATGCCATTCTCCTGCCTCAGCCTCCCGAGTAGCTGGGAACACATGTGCCCACCACCATGCCTGGCCAATTTTTTGTATTTTTAGTAGAGACAGGGTTTCACCGTGTTAGCCAGGATGGTCTCAATCTCCTGACCTCATGATCCACCAGCCTTTGCCTCCCAAAGTGCTGGGATTAGAGGCGTGAGCCACCGTGCCTAGCCTTTCTCCAGTTCTTACAGTAAGTTCATGATTACAGGTTATAGGACCAGGGTGTCATTTTTACCCCTGCGTTAGTCCAGGTTCTTCAGAGAGGTGGAAAAAAATGTGTGTGTGAATTTACTGTGGGAATTGACTCACATGCTAATGGAGTTTGAGAAGACCAACCTAGGTTGTCTACAAGCTTGGAGAAAACTGGGGAAGCCTGATTCAGTCTTACGTCTGAATGCTTCCTAACCAGGGAAGCCTGTGTTATAACACTCAGTCTGAGGACAAAGACCTAAGCACCTGGGGAGCTGCTGGTGTAAATCCTGGAGGCCAGAGACCAGAGAATATGGAGTTCTGAGGTCCAAGGGCAGAAGAGAGGTGTCCAAGCCCCATGAGGAGGAAGGTGGGAGGGAAAAAGAGGGAGAACTTGCCTTACCTTTGTCTTAACTATCACAACCCCTTACCTTCCATTTAAAAAAAAAATTTATGAATGTTGCCTGTCAATTAACTTTGCATTTGTAAAAGATCAGGAAAATACAAAATCTAACAGCTTAATGAAAATCAATACTTTTTTTTTTTTTTTTTTGAGATGGAGTTTCGCTCTTGTTGCCCAAGCTGGAGTGCAATGGTGTGATCTCGGCTCACTGCAACCTTCACTTCCTGGGTTCAAGCGATTCTCCTGCCTCAGCTTCCTGAGTAGCTGGGATTACAGGCGCACACCACCACATCTGTCTAAGTTTTGTATTTTTAATAGAGACTGGGTTTCACCATATTGGCCAGTCTGGTCTTGAACTCCTGACCTCAGGTAATATGCCCGCCTCAGCTTTCCAAAAGTGTTGGGATTACAGCTGTGAGCCACCACACCCAGCCCTACATATTCATTTTTAAAAAAATCTGTTGCTGGCCAGGCATGGTGGCTCACGTCTGTAATCCCACCATTTATTAAGGCTCAGGTGGATGACTGCCCTAGACCAGGAACTTGAGACAAGCCTGGGCAACACAGCATGACCCTGTCTCTACAGAAAATAATTATAACATTATTTTTGTAATTAAGGTGCACACGCCTGTAGTCCTAGCTATTTGGATGTATGAGGCAGGGGAATCCCTTGTGCCCAGGCGTTTGAGGTTGCAGTGAGCTTTGATCGCATGACTGCACTCTAGCCTGGACCACAGAGTGAGATCCTGTCTCTTAAAAAGAAATAAAAAATCTGTGGCTTTATGTCACTGAAATAACCATGGTATCAAACTTTGTAATTTTAGGGTAAACTAAGGCACCAAGGCTTAACTGCTGTGAATGCTGGATAAATTAGTTGAGTTGGACAGAGTACCACTGTCATAATCACACAGACACTTTACATCACATAGATAAATATTGAGGTTGGAATTTTTTATTTAGTTTAAGTATTCATCAGCCATTTTAAAGCATCCCTTGTCACCTGTCAGTTAACTAATTGTGATTCAGATGAACTAAATCAGGGATCTATGATAGAAATATTTATTTGACTGTAGTTTTCCTGGAAAGATATCTGTGTGAAGACTTGTAGATACTGTTTTATTTTTTATTTTTAGTTACCTATTTTTTTTTGAGATGGAGTCTCGCTCTGTCGCCCAAGCTGGAGTGCAGTGGCACGATCTTGGCTCACTGCAACCTCTGCCTCCCAAATTCAAGCAGTTCTCCTGCCTCAGCCTCCCAAATAGCTGGGACTACAGGCACTTGCCACCATGCCTGGCTAATTTTGTATTTTTAGGAGAGATGGGATTTCACTGTGTTAGCTAGGATGGTCTCGATCTCCTGACCTCGTGATCCGCCTGCCTTGGCCTCCCAAAGTGCTGCAATTATAGGCAAGAGCCACTGTGCCCAGCTGACATTGTTTTGTTTTAATCAAGGCAAAAATTGTATGTAAATACTGCTTGACTTATACTTTATTTTTTTGAGATGGGGTCTCACTCTTTCGCCCCAGCTGGAGTGCAATGGTGGTATAATCATACCTCACTGCAGCCTCAAACTCCTGGGCCCATGTGATCCTCCCACATCATCCTCCCCAGTAGCTGGAACTTCAGGTGCATGCCACCGTACCTGACTAATTAAAACCAATTTTTTTTTTTTTTTGGGGTAGATACTGGGTCTCCCTATGTTGCCCAGAGCTCAAGTGATCCTCCCGCCTCGGCCCCCCAAAGTGCTGGAATGATAGTGTGAACCATGCACTCAGCCGGATTATATTTTATATGCTGGAGCATGAGAGCTATGTTTTATTATTTATGAAAGCTTAAAAATATATTTGAATAATGTTTTAGGTGCCTTATAAGATACAGGCTGCTGATTTGTTTTGTTTTGTTAAAAAAGGCAAAAGATTTATTCATTCCGAAGAGAAACCAGAGCATGACAGAGTGCTTTTTAAATGCTTATAATCTGGTAGTGGTTGAAAAAATATGCATATTAAAAGGTGACATCATAATAATGTTAACACTTAATAGGTTATAAGTGGCTTTTGCATGCATTCCCACCTGTGAGGTGTGTAGATTAGGTTTTATTCTCTTACACAGTTGAAGAAACTGGGGCTCCGGGAAGTTAAAATGACTTGATATAATGTCTTAATGTCAAAAGCCAGTAGCATTAAAAGGAAAATGTCAGCGTTCTGACTTCTGGTCTAATAATCTTTTTACTGTTGTCCAGTTTTGAGAAGAGTAATAAAACTGCACTTAGGGATACAGGAGGAAAGTAGCCAGACATCTTTAATGTTGATATTTGAATAGGTATCATAAAGATACAATATTTGAAGAAGAATAGACGAATTTCAACAAGTGCAGTTGAAACAACTAAAAGCAAAAAAGTGGAAGTTTGTGGGACATGTTAGAATGATACCAATATACTCACTTGAAGAGTAAAGTGCATTTAAAGGTGGTACTGTATGGCTAGATAGGTACTTTGGAACCATAGAATGGAGAACTTTGGAGACTCTTAGGCTATTGTAATAATACAGGTGATAGGTACTGTAGAAAGAAAGACGTGGCTGTAATAGGTGTTGGATACATTTTAGAATGTACAGAGTTTTAAAGCCTCATTTGTATTATGTGAATATAAGTTTTTTTTCCCTTTCCTCAAGGACTCCATCTCACCAAAATCCCTAATTTTCAGGTGAGATGTAAAGTAAAAGTTAAGTATTTTTCCTTTCTGAAAATTTTGTTTTATGATGGATTTAACATAATTTCTTACCTGCTTTATATTTATAAAAAGTTTCAAGTTAATAATACTAATATAAAACTATTATTGTAAGACTAACAAAAGCAGTTTAAAATTTTTTTGTGGTTCTTTTCTGTCCTTAGATTATATTCCCTAGAGATGGGTGCAGCGAAAGCACTCTTGTAAGGTTTGTTTTCTTTGTTAGTAGACTGTTTTACAGTATTAGAAGGTTCTTTGTCATTCATTTTGTATGTAGACAAGGTGGGTTGACTCGGACTGTCTTCCAGTTGTCTGCTCATTTGGAGAGCCAAACTGTTGAAGCAGGCCCCGTACAGGACATGCTCACTGAGCAAGAGAGCTGGCAGACACTTGTAATGTCTCTAAATCTTCTGATTGGATATAGTGTGTATCACATCTTCTGAAATTCCACTGGCCAAATTATGTCACATAGCCGAGGTCCATGTTGCCAGGAGGGGGATGAATAACTCTATTGCAGGGAAAAAGAGCGCTTGAATTCTGAACCAGTAATACCTTCAGCCTCCTCCAGCCACTAAAATTGGTTGTTCCCATGTGTCAGTGCCATCATAGTTACCATTATTAGTGTTAGTTTTGTTTTTGTTTTAAGGGGATTCTCTGATAACCAAGGTAGACAGATGACTGGAGGTAAGAGGAAAAGGCTTTTGTTACCCTTGTCTATACCTGTCTTCTACAGCATGGAAGGGGCAAATGAATCTGTATGTGTCATCCCAGGCTTTCTCAGCTTAGTATAACTATTACAGATTGAAATGTATCCCCCTAAATTCATAAGTTGGAGTCCTAACCTCCAGTACCTCGGAATGTAATCTTATTTGGAAATAGGGTCCTTATAGAGATAC